TTGATGCAGTATTTATGCAGATAAAATGAAGCAACTCATTCATCCATTTACTAGATCCCAGCAAGGTGGAGACACGTGGGTTGACTCTGAGCAGCTGCTGAGCTGATGTAAAAGATGCTACAGCTCCTACGTGTCTCACTGTGGTCCCCCTAGACATTTGGTTTTCATGGCTATTTCTGAAGTTAGAGAAAGTCATAATGGATCATCACCACATTTAGACTGTGACTGTAATTTCTCCTACCTAGAAATAATGTGGCTGCCCAGGCTCAGGCCAAAGCATACACTCTCTACCCAATACACAGGGGTGGGTTAGTAGGGGGGGGCAGCATTATCCCCATACATATAACATATAACAATCATTGTAGAAATGTTTTCAGTTATAACTTAAACCATGAGATAAGAAAATGGAACAAAGAGACAATAAAGCCAATAGTTTCAACAACTGACTTGTTCAAAACATTGGTCTGATACAAAAATTAATAAAATAATACCCACCCTGAAAAAAATTTATGATCTAGTAGGAGAAAGAGAAAGAGCAGGTATTCAACAATCAGTAAGCAAATAAGTAAATAAATAAAAATTGAAACATAAGTAACTTTTTTACTAGAAATAGAAGCAAAGAAGAAATGGTGTTTCCTACTTGTAGTAGCAGAAGGCCACTGAAGGCTTGGGTATGTGAGCATGAAATAAAGCTGAATTGGATGCTCTTTTGTCCCTTATGCAGTTTTCCCAGAGTTAAATGGATTGCTTTAATAAGGCAGTGGGGTTACAGAACTAATGCTGCTCTTAATATCCTTGATTATCAATGTAGATGCTGGGTTATTCTGGATTTCTCTCCCTTTGCCTTTCACCGTGAGAACCAGTTCATTGCTCATGAAAACCTCATGCAGAGGGCACATGAGGGAGGGGAGGGAGATGAAATTCATTTCAGAACTTGTTAGAAGCATTGGTGAAAGGTTTGTTGGAATTGTATGGCTCTTCCCAGCCATAGTGTCATGTCTGTTCATGGGCCAGTCGTCCAAACGGTGAGGACTCTACGGTTAAAGATGGAGTATGGTTCACATTCACGGAGCAAACTAAGCTGTCCACTTGGTTGCTGAGCATCTTCTATTCAGAGAACGCTCTTTGTTGGGCACTAGCCTGAGACAACAGTTGGCATGCTGTATACCTGCTTGCGTTGATCCATCCACATGCCTCTTTCCCCCAGATTTCCTTGTCTCTGTTTTTTTTTTAATTTTTCTTTATCAAGTGCCCTGACAAAAAGTCACTTGTTACTTCACAGTAGTCTATACATATCCATAGCTCAGGCCACTTCTGCCTCCATATGATGTAATGTATGAATTGTTCTGTTTGGAGCTCCTCCCACTGGGAGGATCTCCCCTCAGGGATACATTCCTTTAGGGAGAGCTCTGAGTGCAGCTGTAGTGTGACAACAGCTCACCTATGGCTGCCATCAGCATATCGCCCTGACCCACATGTGAACCACGCCAGCGTTGTTTCTCTTTAATCAGTTAGCACAGATATTTCTAGCTACCATCAGATCTGCTGGTTCATATGGCCTAAGCTTCCAGGAAACTGGCACAACTGCCTGGACCTCCTGTAGACCCTTTTATTTAGGGCAACATTCAAGTGCAAAAAATGGCTGGTACTGTATTCCCATAAGGCCCTTTGTGGAAGGGTAGGGAGAGTGTTTATAGTGATTTTTATGCCATTACAGAGTCCTCCCTCACGGGCACTCACCCTCCCTTTTAGCCAATGGTATCTGGGTCTGTTGAAATCAAATAAATCCAGAGATTGGGTGAAGGACCTGGATTTTCCATTGTGACAGCTGATCTTAGGAGTCTGCTTACCAGGTATCTATTGGGGGAAAAATCCATGTATAAATGGACCCTTACAGTTCAACCCGTTGTTCAAGGGTCAACTGTATTGACAAAAGACCACTGGAAGGATGAGAGAATGGAAGTTGGATAAGGAAGGAAGTGAAAACAAGGTTTGAATTCTGGTTCAGCCACTATGACTTTGAGCAAGTTACATCACCTCTGTGCTTCACTTCTCTTGTTTGTAAAATGGGGGGACAACACAGGGACTTTGAGCATCTTTCCACATGGGTTTTTCTCACTGAAAGTGGCCTATTCCTCTTCATCAACCCTTGCTGCTTCATCCTTTAGGTGGTTTAGGTTTTGATTTAGCCTTTATTTCCTCTGGGAAGCCTTCTCCATCCTCCCAGTGTTGAGGCGGCCTCTAATGTCTTTCAACCACATGGTACCTCTCCTACAATAGTTGTTGTCATACAGAATTGCAGCCATCAGATCACTTGTCTAGCTGCTCCCCTAGAACAAAGACTCCACTAGGGCAGGGATGATGACTGTCCTAGCCCAATTAGCACATATTAGAAATAAAAATCTAAATTCCATTGAATTCTCTTGTAGATTGTAAGGGTTAAGTGAAGTAATGCATGTGCAGCTCCTATCAACCTAAGTGTTCAGTAAATAGTAGCTTTAAAAAAATCTATTATTTTTCACATCTTTATCAAGGGCACAGTTCTTGGCATGTACACATTTGTATCACAATAAACACTTGGTGAATGAAAAGTTCAGTCCGGATTGAAGAGGTCCTTAACTATGTCTGCCGGCCGCAATGATTTCAACTGCTGTCGACTTTACATTCAGTGTCCTAAATGCTGTCCTCTGAAACTCCAACGTGTATTAAGTTCTAATTTTTTTTAGAGGAAGCAATAACAAAAACAAAATAAAAATCTAAGAAAGTAATTGTAAGATGCCGCTATAGAATGGGGGAAAAGGAGAGGGAGCCGGGAACCACAGAGAAGCTTGAGATGAGCAGGGCTTGGGGTGTGTCCGTTTATTTTCTTTCTTTCTTTTTTTGAATTTTCACTTAATTTTATTTTGTTTTGGAGTTCTACTGAGTGGTCTTCAGGCACGTTCCTTTTATATCTTAAAATAACATGAGGGTGTTAGGAGAGAATTCAACAGCCTAGGGGGTCTCAATAAATACAGCACATAGTTCGCATAACTTTAGGGAGTACTTTCTGAATTTAGGGGTTATCCCTCTGGGTGAATGAAGGAAAATTTACACTCACTTGGGGGTCACTTTTGAATACATGGAGTTCAAACCTTCTCAGTTCCTCAGCCTTTGCTCCTCTTTTCCTGGGTTTAGAGGCCACCTGTACCGCAGGGCACAACTGCCACTCTTACTGCCCATAATCGCCATCTCCAGCCTGCAGAAGAAGGCTCCGTGGAAGGAAGAAGAGTAGGGCTCGAAGCACCACCGGGCGGGGTGGTGCTAGGGTGGTGGGGTGTGCGCGCCACCGCTGTCGTGTCACTTGCATGCAGCACATGCCCGTGTTTACATCCCTCGTGGAGCTGTTGGCAGCAGCCAAATGGCAGCACTGTGGCGACACTAAGGCACAGAATTTAGGAGACGAGTCTCTCCATCAGGCCGGCTCCAGGCGGTCAGGAGAGAAGGAGGAGGGGCGGGGACATCGCACACACGTGGCCTGACCACCTACCAGGCCTCACGGAACTCGCGCCTCTTCTGCAGAGAGCCACAGGCGCGGCGCGGGGCCTCGCTCCAGGTTTGGGGGAGGCCGGGGCGGGTGGCAGGCGCCGTGGCAGCGCGGGGCTTGTAAACAGATCCGGCCGCACGTGACCTTATGAGCTACTTGCTCCAGGGGCGCCTATTGCCTTTCCTGCCAGCGGAGCCACAAGAGAGCGCGACACTCTGAGCGCGGAGCAGCGGGCAAGGGAGCGGGCAGAGCCGCCGGAGGGCTAAGATGGCCGAAGGCGCCAGCGAGGCTGAGTGTTCGGGGGCCTGGCGCGGCTCAGCCGGCCGGTGAGTCCCCTGGCAGGCAGGGCCGGTGGCGCCTTCCCTGCGGCCTGGCGCCGGAGCCACCATGACGTTGGCCCTCGAGGAGACGCTCGAGTCCGACTGGGTGACCGTGAGGCCGCATGTGCTGGAGGAGCAAGAGAAGCACAGGTTTGTTTCCATTGTCCCCAGGAACAAGATTGAGGCTAAGTTTGCCATAAGCTGCTACAACCAGCCGGCCCAGAGGCAGAGCAGCACCCAGGATCAGGCGGGTGTGCGAGGGGGCGCCGAGCCTGGCGCACCCACGTCCGACAGGACCCGCAGGCCGGGCAGCCCAGTGGGCAGTGGTCAGCCAGAGGCCACTGCCTCGGTGACTCCAGGCAGGAGCCCTGGGCCCTGGAGGCTCCCGGCCTGGGCAGAGGGCAGCTCCCCTCGGAGCGTGTGCAGCCTTCCAGGATGCCCGCTGCCATGGAGTTTGGGAGAAAAGAAGGCGGAGAGTCCTCTCCAGAGTCCAGTGAGTGCCAAGTCCAGCCCGGTCCGCAGTGCATCCGAAGGCAGAGGTGGGGCGGGGGCCAGCCGCGACGGCGCACAAGGAGGCCCAGGTGTCCTCAGTGCGGGTAGTGAGCGCTTGGGTGACCATCACCGAGGAGACTGAGATGCTAGAAATGGTGAGGGAGGGCGGGGCGGACCGGGCATCGCTGGGCTTTTGGTAGCGGAGCAGCTGCCGCGTGCCGCGGAGCTGGAGTCCCCAGCGAGGAGCTGGGCTGGGCGCTTCTTCCAGGATCTGCACGCAGCGCACCAGCACCCCAGCTCCGTGCGCTCGCAGCTAGAGCCGTGCCTGCCGGTATTCCCCGAGGGGCTCTGGGGCATGTGGACAGTGCTGTTCAGGGGCGCCCCAGAGATGACTGAGCAGGAGGTCCGCATCCTGTGTTACCAGCTCCAGATCTCCCCGGGCCACGGGCTGGACACCTCCGGCTGGTAGATCCTCTCCCAGGCGCTCTTCACAGAGACCCGTGACCTGGAAGGGTATTTTGAAAGCCGTAGCGATCTGCGGCAGAAGGGCTACGAAGAAGAGCTTCAGCGGGCCAGGAAGCGCACCCAGGAGGTAAGGACCTAATCTGGGCTCCAGTCTTAGCTTGTGGTTACTCACTGCCAAAGGCTGGAGCCTCGGCCCAGGCTGCGCCCTTTTGGGACACTTGTTTTTCTAGACAAGGGAAAAGGAAGTCCTGTTTATTTTCAATTTCTTGTCCGCTAGATGGTGTAGTTCTGTGAAAACCGTTCTGGGTAATTCGATAGGGATCGCATTAAATCCGTAGATTGCCTTGGGCAGCCTGGCTGTTTGAACACAATTCTTCCGATGCAAGAACATGGGATGTCTTTCCATTT